AATTAAAAATGTATTAGTGAAAATAATTATCCTATAATATAAATAATTATAAATTAAAATTAAGATAACTAATTAGTTTAATTAAAATTAAAAAATAAAATTTAAAATAAGATTAAAGTGTGTAATCATTTTCCAAAAAAGAAAAGTGACATGGTATCTGGAACGGACAGAAACGGCAACATGAACATGGTATCTGAGAAGGAGGGAGTAATATATTTAAATGCAAGCCATATTTTAATTAAGTACCCTAAATTGAATGCAAAATCGAAATTTCCACTATATGTATATAAATATATCTATGGTATATCATAATAAATTAATTTAAAATAATTAATATTTTTATTAGCTGGATCAAATTTCAAAATGAACGAAAATCCATAGTGACTTATCACTTTCGAATTACACATAGTCTAAACGGACCCTAAATAACTCCGTCATATAAAATTGTCCCTATATGTAACACTATATTATACAGTTTTTATAATTTTTTTTTTCTAAAAAAAATTATTTATTCAAATTGAGATATTTTGATTAATATGGATATTGTATATATACATATATATTGCGGAGATTACAATACTGATTGTTATTATTCAATATAGTTCTAATGATAAATAAAATATAATCTGACATCATATGAATATAAATTAGTATTATAAGGTTTATGTTAATATAGTATAAATACACTATAAAAATCAACGATTAGTAATAATTATCAACGTAATACATATTACTGAGATATTTTAGTTATTTGAGTTGAAATATTTAATTATTTTATATTTGATTTTATCTATTAGGTTGGGTCGTTATGATCAAATAATGTAATATTTAGGGCTTTCGTAAATTTAATTTTCACATGGTATTAGGTCATTTTCTACCCATTACTTCATTTTGCAGCAGACTGCAGTTTACCTACAATAATTTTATTTCAACCATAAACTTCAATTTTTACTTTAAAAAATATTATATATATTTTTTCCCTTTTTATATCATTTTTCATATTTATAAATTATACCCAATTTTATTTTACTTTTACATTATCACCCAACTTTTATGGAAAATATATAAAAAAATGTCATTTAAAAAAAAAATTAAAATTGTACATTAATTTTTAGAAAATAAAATTATATATCACTTTTTAAAAAATAAAATTATATATTATCTTTTTAAAAATTATATTCACTTTTAGAAATATAAATTTATAATTTTTTAAAAATAAAATAAAATTATACAAATACACCTTAAAAAATAACAAATTACACAAATTCAACTCCGAAAATCGAATAGAGCTTAACACTGTAGCAAACTCCAAAAATGGAGTTACAAATGGGGTTAGGTCATTTCCAAATCATTACTCTAGTTTTGCAACAACTGTAGTTGATCAATAGTAATTGTAATCCAATCATACACTTTTAATTTTTACTCTAAAAAATATATTCTTTTATATAAAATTTATTTTATATAAATTTTCATATTAATAAATTACACCTCAACTTTAATTTATTTTTACATTATTACACAAACATATATAATTTATATTTTATATAAAAGTTATATATATGAAAATTAGCATTTATAATTAATAACTATTACAAATAAAATAATTTTAACAATAATAAAAATAAATAAAATCATATATCCTTATAAAGCAAAACAACAATTAACCAAGTTAAAAAAATATTTAAAAATTGAATAAAAATTCAGTATAATAGTTAAATATTTTTGTTACTGTTGTGATAAAATTAAAATTGGTCAAATTGAGTAAAATACTACCCTAGGTCCTCGATAATAAATATTTGGAATTTCTTCTCATTATTTTTGTATTATTTATCAGATTGAATAAACTATTTATATATATATATATATATATATCTAAAATTAGTATAGCAGTTATTGACATGATTATTGAAATTTTTATCCCAAAAAAAAAAAAATGGTCATTGAAAATAAAAACAAACTCTTGTTTTATTTTACAACTGAAATTGGCATTATACCTAACAGAAAATAGGCATATTATTGCTTCATGCATGGTCAATTATATTATACATAATATTCATATTTATTGTATAAAATTTGTTGTATTAATATAAAGTTCGAAAAAAAAAAAAAAAAACATGCAAACGAAAATAATGACTAATAAAAATCATGGATTTATTATGCAAATAATCTTGTGTTAAATAAAAATAAACATTATAAAATTACTTCGAATGTAACATTTTATTGATGAATAAAATAGATAATGCTGATATATTCTTTAATGTGGATTATTTAAGAAATTATGTAAAATTTCTAATATAATTTTCTAAGAATCACTGCACCTATTATTTTTAAATGGTGTTATATTGTATAAAAATAATTGTTGTGAAATGTTTAATATAGTTGTTATTTGAAACAATAAATAAAATAAATAATTTTTGTTTCTCAATCTTATTTTAGAAAAAAATAGAATCATGTTTATCTTCAAACGTTATTTGCATAATTTTAAATAAAAGTATCTCTTATTTCTCATTTTTGTTGATTTTCTGAAGTATAACTTTCCCACAGATTTGAGATGTAAAAGATCATACTATAAGTGATGCAGCATATTTGGATTTATATAAATATCTATCCATGTGGGTTTTGATATAGTTGTTATTCGAAACAAAATAAATAAAATAAATATTGTTTGTTTTTCAATATTATTTTAAAAATTAGAATCATTTTTATCTTTGAAAATATTTTCTATTATTAATTTTTTTAAATATTATTGCGCATGTTGTCATAAAACACAAATATTTATTGTTGACAGACACATACTGTAGCATTAGCGTATTTGTCTTTGTTCATTTTGTCTTATCTCTACAGATATATACATAACATAAATTGAATAAATGAAGGTAGTCAACACATTGTTAGATACGTAAAGAAACGTCTCATTCCATATCAGTGCAAAGGACATTAATTTGGTATATTTTACTGAGTCAACAAGGTGGCCGCAAATCCAGCCTAGGACAAACCAAGTTGGATGTGAGCACATTTTGAGAGTATTGTTTAGAGAGAAAATCTCAGTCGAGCTCTCACAATTGTCTCACTCTATCTTCGTGTTTTGAACTTGTATTTAACACTTAAACTAGTTGGAGGAATCTCCAGATGAAGGAGTTTGTGGAGGTCCAAATAGTGTTGGCGACCGGTTCTTGATCGGCATATTGGGTGTGTTTGTTTGGGGAATTGAATTTTAAATACACTATTCATCCTATTTTTTTCCTCCAAAAACATCAAATCAAACATCTATTTTTTATTTTTTATATTATACTAAAAATCAATTTTACATTCAAAACATCACATGAACACCTATTTATATCACATCATACAACTATTCAAATTCAAAAATTTTACTATTCAAATCCCAACTCAAAATCCAAATCCCCAAACAAACACACCTTATAGTCAATTGGTGTTAGTAGGGATTAATAATGACCAATTATCTGTGTGGGATTTGTAAGGTAGATTGTTAGAAAAGAAATGTGCTGAAATAGTATGTGGTTATTGAGAGTTGTAATTAGTATTGATTACAATAAAATTACTCTTAGATTGATATTTTTCATATGTAAGTTGGTTTATAACCAAGCTGGGTTAACAAACACCTGTCTCATTTATTGTTTTGATTGTTCAGTATATATTTCGTTGATAGAGTGTTATTATTACGATGAGTTTTTCACATTTCGGGAGTTGGCCATTTCTAAGGAGTTCGAAGGAGTTTGATTGAGCATCATTTTTTAACACATAAAAACCCATGATTTTTAATTAGCCGTAGTTACTTTTGGACATAATAAATATCCTACGTATATTTTATACTAATAAAATGAAGTTATATATAGAATAAATAGCATACAATATATTTTGTGCATTTTTAAAATAAAACACTTACGGGTGGCAAAAATAAGCACGGCTCGAAAGTCTGACCGAGCACAGCACAAAAAAATTATGTTTGGGCCTCCAAAAGTAGGCCCGAAAATTTTCGGGTCGTGCTTGGCTCGGCATACTTGTGAACCGGACCGTGCTCGAGCTCATGAAAGTCGAGCCATGTCAGGCCCAACATGATTTTAAATTAATATTTAAATTTTAATAAACTTATATATATATATATAAATTAATGTTTGAAGTAATAAAAATTACAATAAAAAAAAAAGGGCCTTTCAAGTCCGATTGCTAATCAAGCCAGAAATCGGGTACCGGGTTGTGCTCGGACTGGCCTTTCAAGGCCCGATTGCTAATCGGGTCGGGCCGGCACAAAACACCTAGATGTATTATATATTTCTTTCTTAAAAAATAGAATTGGTTGGAAATTATTATATACTTAGTGTTTTTCACATTATGTTTCAAATTTTATTATATATCTTAGATTTATTGGGATAATTAATATCATTGGAATAATAATCAAATTTAATTTTAACATTTTAAATAATAATATAAATTATTATCTCAATAATTATTGTTCATTATCTATTATAACAAATTTTGTCTCGTAGTGTCTTTTTTTGTAGCAAACTGTATTAGTTTCTGAAACTATGTGCCAAAGATATATTACTATTCACTCTCAACATTGTTAAGAAGAGATTCGAGCTTCTAACTTAAAATTATATTGGTGATCGGTGGAATGATCCTTACCCTCTCAAGACTGTAATACCATATTAAGAAAGAATTCAGACTTTCAACCTAAAACCGGCTAATAGGTGGAGTAATCCTTCACCCTTATAAACCTAAGAGAGTTTCCACATTATATCCAATGTGGAACAATATTCAACGAACCAACGTTATAAGTTCATATATTATTTTATCTCTCAAAATATCATATAAAATTATAATTTAAATCAAAACTCAAACAAAACATGCACAAGAGTAAATCTATAACTTCTTTTTTTTTTTTTTTTTTGAAAGCTACCTGATGTTTGTTGTTCAGATGGGGCAGTCTTTCACTTTATTTGACATACTAACAAATTAGGAAGACATAAGTTTTGATGTATTGCACTTTAAACTTATAACCATGGAGACTGATAAATAGGCATAGCAATGGACTTAACCTGAAGGTACTGATTCAGTGACTCCATTCCCAGATCTCTCCCGAACCCGCTCATTTTGTATCCCCCGAACGGCATATCCTTATCGAACACGAAGTAGCAGTTGATCCAGATAATGCCGGCTTGGAGCGACCTTGACACCGTGTTCGCAATGTTCAAGTCGTTCGTCATGATGCCTGCGGCTAGACCATACTTTGTGCAGTTGGCCCTCTTGATCACCTCTTCCATTGTCCTGCATTTGTACACGCGTAATTTGCTTTGTCGAATCGACTAAAATTACACATCAAGACATGCCTTATTATATTCTTGTGTTCTTATTAATTCACATTGGGAAAACAAACTCAAGTCCCGCATCATTATAAAATCATTTTTTCATCACAAAAAAATGTAAAACAGAGATTTTATGCAATATTTTTTAAAATATAAAGAAGCTGTCATCCAATTTTTAAAGTACAAGGGATTTATGCTACTAATAAATTAATATCTAACTCGGGAAGAAGAGAAATTTACTTGAATTTCATGACAGACATCACAGGTCCGAATATCTCTTCCTTTGCAATAGTCATGTCATCCTATAGAAATGAAAAAAGATTCATTCAATTCGTTCGAACATGCTTAGCTCTCTATTAACAAGCGAAGATCGATTCAGATACTTACTGCTACATCAGCGAAGATTGTAGGCTCGACATAATACCCTTTTGTACCAATAGGCTTACCGCCAGTTAACAAAGTGGCGCCCTCCTTTTTTCCCAGTTCGATGTATGAAAGAATCTTTTCGAACTGTTTCTTATCGACCTATGCAAGAGGGGAAGGTATTTGGCTGTAATGCATTTGATAACTCGACATGACAACAAATTTGGCATCATATGTTCCTACCTGGGGTCCCTGGCTAACATTTGGGTCAAAGGGGTCGCCAACAACCCATGCCTTGGCCTTCTCCACAAGCTTGGCCAAAAATTTGTCGTATATTCCTTCTTGAATGAAAACTCGGGAGCCGGCAACACAAATCTCACCCTGTAAATGGAATGCCAACATTGAATTTGAGGCATTTTGTTTAGGTTGTGTGTGCAAATTAAATGCCGGAAGAAAGCATGCTTGCCTTGTTGTACACGGTCCCCAAAAGAGCAAGTTCGGCCATTTTATCAACATCCACATCATCAAAGACAATGAAAGGGGATTTGCCTCCGAGTTCTAAGGAGACAGGCTTCAAGTTGCTTGTCGCGGCTGCTTGCATTACTAGCCGGCCAACTTCAGTCGACCCTGTGAAACTAACCTGCACGAGCAAGAAAAAGCTATCTAAGGAACAGAGGAATTAAACATGCGCAATATAGCAACGTTTTTAAAATACTACCTTGTCGATGTCCATATGTGAGGTTATGGCAGCTCCAGCTGAATGTCCATATCCTGTCACGACGTTAAGCACCCCATCCGGGATCCCTGCCTGCAGTTTTTCACGTAAGTTTCGAAATTACTCAAACAGAAACACAGATATTGGATTGAATTGGCTTAAAAACTTCTAATGAACAAATCCAAATATTCCTGTTTTCAAGTTTTAAGATAGGCACTTGGCTAAGCTTTCTCCAGAAATCGAAGAAATGAATGAAGAGGCTGGCTACCTCTTTGGCAAGATGAGCGTAATATAGCGCGGAAAGAGGGGTCTGCTCGGCAGGTTTGACGATCATGGTGCAGCCGGCAGCCAAGGCCGGGCCAACTTTAGTGACAAACATCTGAGTAGGGAAGTTCCAAGGGATTATGAGGCCAACAACGCCTATCGGCTCACGCAGAGTGTACCCCTGCATTTCCCTTGACATCTTCAATGTTGATCCATGAATTTTGTCGGCTGCGCCGGCAAAGTAGCGTATTGTTTCAGCTGCTGAAGGGATCTCCAATTTCTTGGTCCAGAAATACAATTTTCCTGCATCGATTGTTTCTAAGGCTGCTATCTCTTCTGCATTTTGCTCCATCAAGTCTGCAAATCTCAGCATTATCCTTCTTCTTTCCTATGAAACATCATCATAATTCATATCCACCGTGTGACGAACACCACTAAATCTCACAACTAGTTCATATCAACTATCAAGGGTAACAATTTCCAACAAGGAATTTACAAAATAATAGGAAGATAATCAAACTGGATCAAAGTACTCTTTCTGCTAAATTCTTTCCCAACAGAACAGAACACGATTATTATTGCAGTAAATAATAGAGGATGAACGCGCAAGTGAAGAAATCAACTTACGGAGCCTGGGAGTCGCGGCCATGGTCCATTGTCGAAAGCTTCACGTGCAGCCTTCACAGCTTTGTCAACATCTTCTTTGTCCCCTTGTGCTATGCTTGCTACAGCTTCCCCTGTTCTCGGATCTATTGTCTCAAAAGTCTTCCCTGTATAGCCAAAGTTTGTTAGCGAAGTGTAGTCAGCAAAACCGAAAAATCGAAGCACGGCGATGATAACGAGGATGATGACGACGAAGACGACGATAACATCAATGTACAGTAACAACATAATTCCATATCTGGAACACTCTCAAAGCTTCTCAAAATAACAAAATCACAGTTAAAAAATAATAATAATAACAAAATCAGTGTTAATTAACATCATGATTCATGAATCAGGACCTTCTAGAAACTGAAAAACTCACAGTTCCCAATCAAAAAAGCTGCAGGACATTAACACGAAGGAGAGGAAATCAGTTTCGATTCAAAAGTAGGCAAACAGTTCGGTTTCCAGAATAAAGATATTGAAAAAAATTTCCAATTCTATCAGAATCGCTTGAAAAGAGATCCGAATCACCATTTCAGCAGCTTGATTCAAATTCACACCCTATCTACACAAACAAGCACAAGGAGATCTCTCAAATTTCCGATTAAATTATTCATACCTGATACGGCGTCAACAAATTCTCCATTGATGAATAGCTTCGTAAACTTGATTTTGGGTATGTTGACATGCGAGTGCAATCCTCCATTCTGGACCGTCATTTGACTCTCCTGTGATCGGGTCTCCTTCAGCATGGGTAGGAATGGCGATGGCTCGACCTTATATAGCGGCCAGAACTACAGAGAAGTGAAGGAAAGAGAAACGAAGACGACGACGACTGCCAAAATATATAATGAAATTATTCTGTAATTTGTTTATTACTTACTATAATTTAATCCCTCCATTATATTATTAAAGTAGTCCCTACCATTCTAAATTACCTGTTTTTTTTTTTTTTTTACTTTTTTTTTTTTTTTTTTGATAAATCATAAATTTATTTCTTTTAAATTTATTTAATAAATATAAATTAATTTAATTAAACAGATAAGTAAAAAATGGAATGAGAGAGTAGAATAAAATAGAAAATTTAGTTAAGAAATATAAAAAAAAAAAATATGCAGCTACACGAATGAATCAAATAAAAATAAATGATTAATAGGATAAAAAAAAATTAAAAATAGAATTCATGAAAAATATTTTTGATGATTGTTGTTTAAAGGAAAAGTAAAAATGAAATACTTTATTAATAACTTAAATTTGATTTTTGTAAAATTAAAATAATATAATTTTTTAAAAAATATAAAAATTAAATAGTAAAACATTAAAAAATAAAAATAATATACTGCAACATTATTTCTATCTATTTCTCTTTCTTCTTTCTCTCTATGTATGGGAGAAAAATGAAAATAGAGAAATAAAAATGATTAATTTATCAAGTTTTATTTCTCTAATTCAAACAAATAAGAAAAATGAGACAATTTCTATTTTTCTGATCTCATTTCTTTGTACCAAACACAACCTAATCTTTTACCAGTATAAAATTTATTTATTTTTATCTCTCTAAATAAATATGTATATCTATATTTAAAATTATTTATTTATTATTAATAATTTTACTAATCTACTGTGTCTAATAGCAAATGACTATGTCCAGAATGAATCGGGACAAAGGGAGTATATTATTTAAAATATTGATGTTATATGTTATGAACTTAATTAAATAAATTTTGCACAAATGGAGTAATAAAATTTTCATTCAACTTTTATATTTCCTTCTTCCAGATAAATTGTTTATATTATTGTAAATACGAGAATTTAGGTACAATATAATTAGTAATTAATTAAAAAATGTATTACTAAAATAATTAATGTATAATATAAATAATTATAAATTAAAATAATCAAATAATTTAATTGAGATTATAAAAATTATAAAATATGAAATTAAATTGTGATGAAAATATATAATTATATTTTTAGAAAAAAAATGACAAATTATATATGACATACCAAAATAAAAAAAATTTAAAAAAATAGACATTTTAAAAGATTCACAAAATATATCTAAAGACATGACAGTTTTATTCTATTATTTTTAAAATCTAATTCAAAATATTTTTTATTTAAAAATATTTTTTTATTATAGTAAAAATAATTATACATTAATATCAAAATATCTTTTTAACTTTAACATAATGACAAATATACATTAGACATACAATTAATTTATACATAAAATTAAATAACAAAAATATCAGAACAATTTATAAATTTTAACTTACAAATATAATACTATTATTTTTAATATATTATAAAATTTTATAATGATACTTTTGGAGTGAAATAGTCTTTATTATAAATGCAAAAATAATATGGAGTATTACATTTATTATGTAATTTCTTTATATTTAAAAAATTTGCACAAAATATCTTCCCCGTCCAAAATTTACATAAATTGGAAACAATTTGTCTCATTATGTAGTGTTATGTACATAAAATTGATGAAATATCTTAAATTAACTTTTTTTAATAAAATAAATAATTGATGAAAGCTTATTATGATTTTGAAGACAATAATGACCTAATTTTTATAAATTTTCAAGTAAAAAATTAATTAATTTTTATTTATTATTTTATTTCTTTTATTTATACAATATTTGCACAAGTGTTATGTCTTATGTGTTAATTATGTAAGTGTTATGTGTTTATAATCAATATCAATAAAAAATATATGTAGGTCCATTTACATAGTATTTTTAGATAAATTGCTTCTTTTTTTTATTTTTTTAGTATGAAAAATTGTGTAAAAAATATAATATACTCCCTCCGTCTCCAGAACTATAGTCTAGGTTGTATTTGACACGAGATTTAAGAAATATTGATATTATATTGTTAGTGAGTAAAAAATACATATAAAAAACTTTTTTTGTCCTTGTGAGTGTATTAGTGTAAAAAGTAGTGGCAATTGTGTAATAGTAATGAAAAAGTAAATATAGTTTTATAGTGATATTATTATTTATAGAAATGAAACTATTGTTTTAGAACGGACAAAAATGGTAAACAAAACTATTGTATTTAGACAGATGGAGTATTATTTTAACTTAAATATTGGCTTTTTTATAATTAGTATTAATTATTTTATCTTTTACTTTCATAAAAAAATATTTTGTATTATTTATATTATTTTGTGTCTTTATTTATGTCTGCGTCCATTTTTTATTGTCCTAAAGTATATTTGCATAATTTCTTAGGTAATTATCTCTTTTATATGAATTGGCAAAGTTATCATTTATGATAAGGTAAAGATTAAAAATAATAAATTAATGAAAGGTAAAAAAAAAAAGTAAATTTTGTGTTTAAAAAATAAAATAGGATAATAGTTATTGAACGTCCCAAATAAAAAAATAGGGCATTAGTTTATGGACGAATGAAGTAAAAAAAGATTTATAGACGAAGGGAGTAAGTTCTTTCCTGAATTAAAATTTTAATTATAAAAATTTATAATTTTTCTCAAAAATCAAATGACATGTATTTCAAAAAAATTTATAATTTTAATCATAAAGGGTGTGTTATCCAGGGGAGTTTAGGGAAATTTGAGTTTGGATTTGATTTTTATTTGAATTTTGAAGTGAGATTGAATTTATTTATTTATTTTGTGTTTAGGTTTGGGTTGAGTTTGGAGAATTTTGTTGTGTATTGATTTGATGGTAACGAATATAATAATATAAATATGTATTAATTTATATAATTTGATTTTAAATTTATATTATATGTATATATATTTCTAAATTTTTATTTATTTGTATTATAAAAAAATTTATTGTCTATAATATAACATATATATTTTATTAATTTATAATTATTATATTTTTTTATATTTATAAATTAAAAAAAAAATAGACGTATTATATATGCATTTATTATTTTCTAGAAAGTGTTTTGTATTTATAAACAACTTATATATATATACTAGAACACGCTCTTGCGCGGTATACCGCGCGACTATTCTATAATGTAATGTAGTGAAACATTATTTATTTGAAATATAAACTGTAAAACAAAAATACAATTGAATTATTTGCGCTCAGGTCGGTTGGTTAGGTCGGTTGGTCCTCAGTCGGTTGGTCTGGTCGGTTGGTCAGGTGGGTTGGTTAGCTGTCGGATAGGCAGGTCGGAAGGTCCTCGGTCGGTTGGTCTGGTCGGTTGGTCCTCAGTCGGTTGGTTAGCGGTGGGATAGACAGGTCGGAAGGTCCTCGGTCGGTTGGTCTGGTCGGATGGTTAACGGTCGGACAGACAGGTCTGATGGTCAGCAGGTCGGACAGACAGGTCTGATGGTCAGCAGGTCGGACAGACAGGTCTGATGGTCTGTGGTCGGATAAAGTAGGTCGGCTGGTCTGCGGTCGGATAGGCAAGTTAGTTGGTCCGCAGGCAGATAGATTGAGATAAGAAGGGTGACCCTGCATCTCTCTATGAGTTTTAAAATGTCAAAAATAGCAAGGATATTTCAACTTTGATAATTGTTACGCACAAAAAATAATAATAATAATAATAATAATAATAATAATAATAATAATAAGGATAGCAGGATCTTAAAGGAAGTTAAATACAAAGTCGGGTGGAAATGGAGAAAAATTTGCGCTCAGGTCGGTTGGTCAGGTTGGTTGGTCGGATGGTCAGGTGGGTTGGTTAGCGGTCGGATAGGCAGGTCGGAAGGTCCTCGGTCGGTTGGTTAGCGGTGGGATAGGCAGGTCGGAAGGTCCTCGGTCGGTTGGTCCTCGGTCGGATGGTTAGCGGTCGGACAGACAGGTCTGATGATCTGCGGTCGGATAAAGTAGGTCGGCTGGTCTGCGGTCGGATAGGCAAGTCAGCTGGTCCGCAGAAGGATAGATTGAGATAAGAAGGGTGACCCTGCATCTCTTTATGAGTTTTGAAATGTCAAAAATAGCAAGGATATTTTAACTCTGATAATTGTTACGCACAAAAAATAATAAAAATAATAAAAATAAGGATAGCAGGATCTTAAAGGAAGTTAGACATGAAGTCGGATGAAAAAGGAGAAAAATTTGTGCTTAAGTCGGTTGGTCAGGTTGGTTGGTCGGATGGTCAGATGGGTTGGTTAGCGGTCGGATAGGCAGGTCGGAAGGTCCTCGGTCGGATGATCAGGTCGGTGATTTAGCGGTGGGATAGGCAGGTCGGAAGGTCCTTGGTCGGTTGGTCATCGGTCGGATGGTTAGCGGTCGGACAGACAGGTCTCATGGTCTGCGGTCGGATAAAGTAGGTCGGCTGGTCTGCGATCGGATAGGCAAATCAGCTGGTCCGTAGGCGGATAGACTGAGATAAGAAGGGTGACCCTGCATCTCTTTATGAGTTTTGAAATGTCAAAAATAGCAAGGATATTTCAACTTTGATAATTGTTACGCACAAAAAATAATAATAATAAAAATAAAAATAAGGATAGCAGGATCTTAAAGGAAGTTAGACACGAAGTCGGGTGGAAAAGGAGAAAAATTTGCGCTCAGGTCAGTTGGTCGGATGGTCAGGTAGGTTGGTTAGCGGTCGGATAGGCAGGTTGGAAGGTCCTCGGTCGGTTGGTCTGGTCGGTTGGTCCTCGGTCGGATGATCAGGTCGGTTGGTTAGCGGTCGGATAGGCAAGTCGGAAGGTCCTCGGTCGGTTGATCTGGTCGGTTGGTCCTCGGTCGGATGGTTAGCGTTCGGACAGACAGGTCTGATGGTCACAAGGTCAGACAGACATTTCTGATGGTCTGCGGTAGGATAAAGTAGGTCGGCTGGTCTGCGGTCGCATAGGCAAGTCAGCTGGTCCGCAGGCGGATAGA